TAAGACCAACCCTGAGAGAGGTAAGATGACCTATATAAATGATTACAGTCTATTACTGACAACATCAAGAATAAAATAACTATATATATTGCATCACCTAACCCTCAGGCCTCAGCTTCCCCAACATGAGGAAATCACTCCATGGTGCTTAATATCTGCCTGTGACGTGCTATTTGTATATACGGACACAGTGCCGACACACTCATTGAGATTTCTCATCAAGCTTCTGTGAGCCGCATAGGTGCCTATGAGCATTTGAGTCTCTGGGAGAAAATATCTCTTAAAGTAAGTTCAATTAGTCAGTCAAGGAATATGTATCGCAGGCACCCTATTTCTCAGACATGCCTAAGAGGGGCTGAGGACATGCCAGGAAACAAATAAGATCCTTGCCCTCAGAGAGTGTCACAGGCACACTATCTTAGCTACAGCGTCTGCCCAACCCAGTTTCAAGTGCCGAAATGACACTTCGCCAGAGAGATCATCTTGAAGGAGGGTGCAACAGACTCTCGATCCCTTTGGAGAGTCTTCCAAGACACCATTTCCAAATCACTAATCGTGTTGCTGCCTGTATTATAAAATAATTGACAATCTAATGAAACTTCACTTGGACGCAGTATATTTTCCACAGTTCACAAAGGACACTGCAATCTTTCCTGAGGGAATGGCATCCGCCGAAGCACTTCCAAATGTATTGAACGTGGAGGACCTTACCAAAAAGGGCAGCAGCTATTTGCATTACTCCAGCCTGAATCTTGTCTATGTCGTTTTCCTTTGTCACTCTTGACCAACATGGTCGGACATTAACTGCTTCTGTCAAACAAGACCACATTTGCTTTTTGCAAACCGTGCATTCCCTACACTGAAATCAGAGATGGCCAATTGAACTGCACATTTATTGCACGCCTGCTGCGTCTGGTATATGTAATCTGATTTCATCCATGTGGCTCTTCATAACCGCTGTCTCACAGACGAGCATACAGGCTCAGAGCGGTCAAATGGTGCGTGTGCTGCACCTGACCCCGTGGAGAGCTGAAGACTCAAACTCACTCAGGATGCCAGAGTCCAAGTCTACTGAGTCTCTCCGTTACATTTCAGAAGCACGCAAAAAAAATAAAATGTATCAGATGGTAAGAACGTCCATAGACGACATCTTCCTAAGATCAGTGAAGATGGTTAACTTGAGGATACTTCTCCAAAATGAACACGGGTTTCACATCGACTTTGGGATTGAAAAGAAGCAATATAGAAAGCCAATGGGCAACTCCTGAGCCTGACTGTCGGTTATAATGTACAGATAGGACATCAAGAATAACAACGACAGTAGTAGGAGTCCTTCCCCTCAAAGGGGGAACAGGTCTCTGGAAGCATATTGAGGAAATGGACACAACACTGAACTACTGTTGTAGAGAAGGGAAATACAAGCAAAGACCGTGACTGGCTGCTTCAGAAACCATTACTGAGTCGTCCAGAGATTTGTATATGCAAACAATAAGACACTTATGTCCACATAAAATCTGGATGGGAAAAACGACCAGGACTTGATCCTATCACAGTGTGAAGATGTATAGCTAACATCGAAGTCATTATAACTAGGAAGACTCTGAACCCAAATTGTAAAGGAATGGAATTTCATGCCATCTAATTTAAATGACACTCCTGCCCAGAAATCTGTGCTTATTTTGTGTGTTCCTGGTCCAGAAAGTGTAATATGCAGCTAAAGTTATCCATTGAACACACAAAATATATCATATGCAACTTTTAGACCAAAATTGTACCAAAATACGGAGAGTATTATTTTTCCCTGAAGATCTCATTGAAGTATTATCTTTGCTGAGATTTCTGTTCCCTATACTTTAGAGTAAATCCTCATCTCCAGTTTCCAGCTTGAAGGAGCATTTCAATCTAAAACGATATGTTGCAGCCAGTCTGTCCTGTTAGGAACTCAAAGGAAGAATCTGGTAACCAAGGTGGGGCCAGTCCCTCTCCCTGGAGTGTAGCCACTGGAACTGGAAACGTGTCTGGCCAGCCTGTGTTCATTCCCAGGGAGTTAATTCCAATTAACCCTGCACAACCTTAACAAACAGCTCTTTAGAGGGTGCATCACACTTGGGGCTTTGCACAGCATTACTTGTAAGTCACCAAATAATTCAAATTAGTTGAATTCTAGTTTGTTGATATTATCCATCCCATCCCACAGATGAGAAAACAGAGGGCCAGGGAAATTCAAGGTATGGCCCAAAGCGTACAACTGTTAAATTAGAGGAAAGAGATCGTTTAAAAAGGGAACTTCAGGACTTGCAAAACGCAGACATCGCTGGGCCTGGGGGCCTCCGCAGAAGCCCAGTAGTCCACACTCCAGACTCACAGATGTTACCCAGGGGGCACCAACTTCGGCCCTGCAATGAGCTCACAGGGTAAGCTTCCAGGTCTGCCATGGCCATCATCTTCCAACAGTCCACGAACAAGTTGCCTAAGACGCAGAGCCAACTCTGACTGCCAAACCAAAGGAGCTAAATCTCAAGTCGGGCAATGTGTCCCCAACTGTAGCGCCGGGGAAGTGAGTGATTCGCCAGATGAAAAATGATATCCTTGGATGCTCCATCATCTCCAGATATGAGGAACAGGCTTAAGTGGGCAAGGGCTGGAGGAAACAGTTCAGCCCACAGTGTGAAAGACATTCACCCCCCTCCCCTCGCTTCCCCTCCCCCGCCCCTTCCCTCCTCTCATTCAGAAAAGTTTGCCTGTGTATGTAAATGTGGAAGGTACAGCCAGGGGGTGAAGATGGGAGAGGAACATACTCCGAGGTCTCATTGGAGTAGCCGTGAAGAGATCTGAGTGTCTAAAAGGAAAAAAGAAGAAGAAAGAGAAAGAAAGGGAGAAAACCTCTCCTGATTGGACGAGGCAGCTGACTGAAAGGCTGGGTGAAGCCCAGAGCTGAACTACGCAGTAAAAACGTCAAAATACATCTTTTTCTTGTTTCTCTTTTGCCAGTTGTGCTAAATCGCAACTGGGCAGGAACTTGACTTGAGTCCATCTGTGACCACAGTGGTGCCTTAACTGAGGTCATGTAGAAACAAAACAGACAAGCAAATCAAAACAAAACAAAAAACACAAAAAGACTGCAAGGAAAGATAAGATATGCAAAAACCTACAGGGATATTGGGGCAGGGGGAGGGGCACAAACCAGAGACCCTGCGTGATCATTTCCACGGGCTGGTCAATGTATTGCCTGCTCTGTGTCCCGACAGGAAACTTGTGCCCAGGAAAACAAAGTAGAGAAGTGCGGGGCTCTGGGCGAGCTGAGTTAAGGAGTAATGAAAAGGATAAGAATGGATGATGTGAGTGGAAGAGCAGGCTCAGATGCTTTTAGCAGGGTGTTTCTGGTTTCTATTATCACCTCTCTAATATAAATCTAACTCCATGCTTCCTTAATGACTCTCCGGGGACCACCACTCATTGCATTAAATGTGCCCAGCACACCGAGAAGGGCCCAGGAGAGCGCTGCCTTTCATCTCCTTCAGGATACACGAGAGTTGTGGAATATATACACATATGTACATACATATGTATATTTAAATAATATTAAAGCCATTAAAAAAAAAGGACTGAAAGGGATCTCACACTGGAGGCGGGCTGGCCGGGGGCCCAGAGTGGCAGGAGGTTATCCTGAGTCCTCAGGGCAGCTACTTTCCCTGACCCTTCTCAACAAAAATGGCAACTGTGGGGACAGAAGTAGTCACACCACGTATGGCTGGCTCCCATCCAGTTTGGACTCCAAACTGAACTGTGTCTGCGGTCCTGAGGCCTGCGTGAGTCACCTGTCTCACAGGGTCTGGCCACTCACCAAAGAGTTACAGCTCCAGTACCCTCTGTTTCCTCTTTTATTGGCATGGGATCTCTGGGGAGTCTTCCGACTCTAAAGTTCTATGAGTCTATGGTTCTCACAGAAGGCCCCCCAGAGAGGAAGAAAGAAGGGTGAAGAGAAAGAGTTCTGTTGAAAGAAAAAGAAAGCGAGAGAGAGAGGGAGACAGAAAGACAGACAGACAGACAAAGGGGATGGCAAGAGGGGTGATCCTACAGGCCCTCAGCCCTTCTAAGCATTTGCTACCCCTTATTTTGCTTCATTGGCCTCTGTCCCCAGAAACAAAGCTGTCACAGACCTTTTCTTGAGCTCCTTTACCCAAGTGACCACACAGGATACTCAGTTTCTGCCTTTTTCTCCAGAGCCCTGTCCTGGTGATGCTGGGAAGGTTTCTGGCAGAACCCAAGCCAGCTGCCCAAGCTGTCTGCAATCTAGGTAAAGCCTCTCTGTTATCCAAAGAAGTGGTTAGTTACAAGGAGGTGGGGTTGAAGAGTAGTGGGCCCTGGCCCCTCATTCTTAGCTCTGGCAACAATCCAGGTCATCTGGAGACCACACCGGAGCCTGTGTTAGCAAGAGAAGGTGGGGAAAGTGTAGCCACCTCTCTCTCTACCACTTCCTCCCCCTACCCACCCTTCCTCCCTCCATCCACCAGGAGCCAGAAGCCATCCTTCATTGGCTGGGTTTATTATCATATTTCTGTGTTGATACATTTCGTTGATCTGCAATGTCAGATTGGATAGTGAAATTTAAATTAGGCCCCTTCGATTTCCAACGGCTAAACATTTGTGCATCCAACTCAGGGGCTGCCATCAACTTAAATGCACTGTTGAGTGTCAGTCACACAGCACAGACTCCCCACACTGCAGCGGCTTTTTTGGGGAGATCCCCCCCTCCCCCCAAACATTTGCAAAGGCATCTGCCCAGGATGCAGACAACCTGCATCATGAGAGCAAACCAGCTTATCCCAGAGCACAGGCTGATGGAGCAAATGCCGGGGCACCCCTCTCTCTCATTTCTGGCCCCCTACAGTGATGTCTTTAAAAACCACACTCAGGAAGGTGAGGGGATAATGGGACAAGAACGATAAATTAATGAACCTTTTTCTTCATCAATAAATAAGAAAGTAAGGATCACTCACTGTATTTTAGACTGATCACAGCAACATCCAGACGGAAATCCAGGTGGTTAAGAACAAGCGAAAACGCATGATCTTGACACCAAAAAGGAAAAAAAAAGAAAAGAAAAGAAAAAAGGAGGTTGATGAAAAATCCAACTGCAATTATCCATCAATTTTAGTCAACACAGGCACAAATCCAACTGTGCTCTGCTGGTTTCTCTCCCCCAATCAATGCCTCCTTCTGCCGCGGTCAACTTTTCTTCTCCAAAATTTCTTTGCAGATGTATTATTAATTTCCTCGAAACACCACCACATCAGGTCTTTACTTTCCTAAAAAAAGCCCCAAACTTTTCATTCCAAAAATATATCCTTGGCTTACTTTCTCCTGTATAGAAAAAAATGAACATACTTTTTCTTTGTGGCTCCTCGGTTCTCCATTTCCAACCATCCTTGGAGGGGGGGCGGGGGCAGCTGTGTTATTATTATTTATTTATGGCAGAGCACACCAACTCCCGCGGGCCTGGCACTGGTCTATTTCATTTCCCAATACTCCCAGTGTCACACACACACACACTGTGTTAAGATCCAGGTCTCACAGGAGAAAGCTTCGTCCTTCCTGCTCTCTTGCACAATCCACCGCGTTCTGTTCCAAGAGCGAGCTGCGTCCCGCATCCTTCATTTTTGCAAGGCACCCAACCGCCACCGCCGCCAAAAAAAAAGTCTCCTTTTACATCGCCGATTCCTCTCCCCGGCCCCCCTCCCCCCAGAAGAATATGGGGATCAACTCCCCCCACTCATCGCCCTCTCGGCCGGCCCCTTCTCCAAAGATCTGATTAGATTTCTCATCACAACACAGTGCGCAATTGGATTTTTGATTTCAGCAACCCGGCCAGCCACCTTCTCCGCTCCCTCCAAACTCCCTGTTATATCCTGTCTCCTTCCCTCCACCGCCTCTGCAATTTCATAATCTCACGTTAAATGGAGTGCGGGGGGTGGGGGCGGGGGCGGAGGTAGTGGAGGAAAATTTCAAGGCTCCGTCAGCTGTCAAGAAGAAACCCATTCCAACCCCCCTCTACTTTTCTTCTTTAAAAAGGCTGGGGTTGGGGTGGCTTTCGCTCCCTCTGTCCCCGCCCCCACCCCGCACCGGGTCCAGTTCCTCCGGGTGTTGCAGAACTCGGCGAGCAGGGCCGGGATCACGGGGGAGACGCGTGACGCGGTCCCTCGCCGGTGGCCCCCGCCAGCCCCCGGGTCCCCTTCTCCTCCATCAGCCGGCGGCGGGTCCGGGGGCGCCGCGGCGAAAGAAATGCAAACTGGGCTTTTATTTCAAAGGGGAGGGCGGAGTGCGGGGACCGACGGGGTGTTAGGCAAGTTCAAAAATCATATGGACAGAAAAAGAAAAATGGAACGAAAAATAAATCCCTAATCGCGGGCTCCTCTCATCCTCCACGAAGGAAACTGCAGCTTTAATCTCATTTCCAGCTGCGCCGGGTACATTTTGGAGCCACAAGTTGGTTCCTCGGGGCGCAGACCTTGGCGACGCCGGCTAGTCCTCGGCGGGGAGACGCGTTCCCGGGAGCGCAGCGGCTCCGCCGGCCTGAGCGCCCCGGCTCCCGGCTCCCAGCGCGGCCGAAAGCCCGGTCCCGGTCCATCCACTTCGGCTGGAACTCTCTACCTTCCCCTCCTGCTCCTCTCTCCCCCCAAAGAAATAAATGCTCTCCCGGTGCCGGCGGCAGCTCCTGAGTCTAGGCTTTCCCTTGGCCAGTGCCACGGCCAACCTTTAGGGTCCTAGCTCCCCCAAATCTCCTCTTGGACTGCAGTCTCCTTCCTTCCTCTGCCCCTCTTCCCTTCCCCTTTTCCTTCCCCTCGTTCTTCTGTGATCAGTAAAATACAATTACCCAATTACCTCCCATCATCTTAGCACTGATTGGTCAATTGCATTAACACTTGAAGTCGGGGAAGCGGGGATTTGAGCCTCTGCGGTGGGGCACCGCTGCCACCTAGAGGACAGGGCCAGAACGACTGCGTTTCGAAGCCACCCCCACGTTCTGAGGTTAGTAATGGGCAAAGAAACTCAGGGGCTGTGTGGGAGAAGTTGTCATTTTTTTTTTCTAAAAGCTTGCCTGTTTTCATCCTGAAAGCCAGGAGCTGGAGCTACAATGGGGAAGACGATGAAATGAAATTACCACTAGAATTCAAAGATCACACCAAAACCGCAAAGATAATGCTTTTCGGTTGCAGGGCCAGACCCTGTCTCTCCGCTGTCTAGTCAAGCAGGCTGGTTACAGGTAAGGCTAGTACACTACAGACTCTTGCTGCCTAGGATGGAAGGAATCTGGGACTAGCTGCAAAGCCGCGAGGGAGGGAGCCTGCTGTCCAGAGGATAATCTCTCCAGGATGAAGCACTGGAAAGGCAAGCTAGGAGCCTGCAGCCTATGCCGTGTTGCAGTAAATTGGCCTGTTCAGCAAGTACAAGACACCCAGGACAGTGTGACAACTCAATTGCAACATCCCTGGCTCCTGGCTGTGGGCTTTTCTAACAAGTCCAATAGAGGGTGGGGGGTAGCAGCTGGCACATTTCAATTTCACGGGGTCTTTTTAGTTGGAGGGGCCCACAAAATAACACTATGCAATTGTCTTAAGGCCCTTTCTGTAAGTTTTGATTATTCATTTTATGTAATTCAAACATGTCACCTTTAGATATGAAAAGGACAAAATAGGGAATGATAATTCAGACAATAAAAGATTATATATGTTGGGGGAGGAAGGCAAGGAAATATTTCTCTCAAGCTGCACAATTAATGATCTGTGATGATTTTCTTTACTTTTCAGAGATCAGCATATGTACTTGGTTTAAAATAGTTTTAAAGCGGTTACTCTATTTGAGCACAATACAGACGTAACGATTGAGTCTGTATGTGACAAATCATAATGAGAGTGGCATTCAACAGAAAGGAGAACTGTGTACTAAAGGAACACCAGAGGCATATACAAGTTCACACCAAATGTTTCTTTTCTTTCCTGTTCCCTTTAAATTTTTTTTTCTTGGGGGGGGGGGGTACTTGCCCCTAGTGGGAACCAAACCTGGGACTCTCTGGTGTGCAGGCCGATGCTCAACCGCTGAGCCAAACTGGCCAGGGCTAAAATTTTTTTCTCTATTTATTTTTAGAGAGAGAGAAAGGGAGAGGGAGAGAGAGAAACACTGATGAGAGAGAACATCGATTGGCTGCCTCCTGCATGCCCTACACTGGGGATCGGGCCCACAACCTGGGCATGTGCCCTGACTGGGAGTCGAACTGGCGACCTCTTGGTGCATGAGACGACGCCCAACCACTGAGCCACACCAGCAGGGCTCCTGTTCCCTTTATAGTACGTGCATATTTTCTCATTTAAAGATAAAAATTAAAAAGAATTACGTCTGCACATTCTTTGGGTATTAAGCACATGCTCTAATATGTATTTCGGATATCAGCACCTGCAAGAGGAAGACCTTTCTTTACACATGGATTTCAATTTTTCATAATTTCTCCATCTATCTGGAGAGCTTTAGTGTAGTTATGAATTGCACCAAAATGTGAATTTGTTGAGGGGTAAGGTCATTGCTTCAATTTTTAAATGAATGTGGTATTGATTGTTTTAAGACACTAGTGGGCAGGTGACTGTAACTTTAACTTGTCTTTTGAAGCTCTGACACGTCTATGCCAATTACAGTTTATCAACTAATAAACCATTAACAGGTGTGCTCACTAGCCGCTCTAGTAAGCTGCACAGGTGTCTACCCTTGGGTTCTAAAGCAAGCTAAAAGCCCTTGTGAATGAAAATTTTTTTCTAGGGATTTTGACAGCAAGGAAAAGGGCAATGGCTTATTTTTCAGAGCTGATTATTAGCTACCTACCAGACATCTCTAAAGCCTTTCATAATGAATTAATCTATCAAGCAAAGCAGCAGGAAGGATCTGTGCTATTTAGCCAAAATGAAAAAGATAAGCCTCCCCTTCCTGTTTACCTTCCCATTCAGCAGCTACAATTTTTTTTTCTTGCCCCAGCTACCCATTCACACTGTAGGACCTTGAATTACTCATTTGGCTTTTACTTTTGATTCAGACTCAACTGGTGATTATCGGGCATCCATATATGGGTGGGTCTCTCGCTGAATTCTCATAAACGTCACCTTATCTAAAATTCAAAACAGCCTCCTGAGATATTTTGAAGATGGGGAAAGTGACTCTAAAGCCACGTTTTTGGTAAATGACATTGATACATTTTGAATCCGGATCTACTCAATTCCGATTCTTCCAATTCTGCTATCACTTCTAGTTTTGGGGAGCCAGGGGGATGCCTGTAAGACAGTCCTGAGCATGGCTGTCCTTACGGGCTCTGAATCCCAGAGGTGAATCTGTAACCCTGTGGGGGAATGGAATTGTCCCATTTGTCACTGAGCGAGCTTATTCAGAGAGAATCGGAGTAAGAAGTGAACAAGCTTAACTGTCATACAAATGCGCATGCCAACTAAGTTGTTGTTGAGTAACAACATAAACACGTTTCTTCAGTCGAAGTTGTCAGGTACCGTTCAACCATCACAGGGCACGCGTTCAAGTCAAATTTTCAATAAAAGCTCTTTTAGAAGAAAGAATTGCCTCCTGAGTGATAAATTGATCACATTGTCACACTTGCAAATGGCCCATCTAGTTACCAAAAAAAAAAAGCAAGCGCAGGACAAATGCGGTTCAGATGAGATGACGGGGAGAGAGGATCGCTGTGCTAATGGGCAGGTGTGTTCTGCGGCCGCACAGAATTCTGTTGGTTCTTTGTAGGCATTTGGGCGCGGAGACGAGACTACCGCGTTACTTCACTGTGTGCTGGTGACTCTACCTGGTATAATCTTGAGCAAACAGCAGAGGACAGCATCTTGTAATCACAAATACAGAACAGCAAGCCAGACTGAATTTAAACTTTGCTTGAAAATAGAGAAAATATGGATATGTCTATCGTGTTTGTTAATGTTGTTCAACAGACCCTAGGCGACTCTAGCCAAGCACACTATATACTTGAGATCTGAGTCTTTGTGTTACAAATTCTTTTCACTTTTCATACTGTTCAGCAGGGACCAGAATATCCTGTGGGGTAATCCTCTCAAGCTTGCTTCTGTTGTCACACATAATGAATGGCATGTGAATTAACTTCTGTAGGTGAATGATACAAGGCCATACATAGTGGGAACCCCTTACATATGTTATGCTAGACTGAGCTCCAAGAATGCTGTGTTTTAGGGCTAGAAGATATTCTAATAGAAATC